GTGGGAGAGGGAGAAGCAGGCTTCCCGCGGAGCAGGGAGCCCGATGCGGGGCTCGATCCCAGGACCCTGGGATCATGACCTGAGCCGAAGGCAGCTGCTTAACCGACTGAGCCACCCAGGCGTCCCCTGAACACTGTTCCCTTTGCCTGGAGAACTTTCCCTGTCCCACAGCACTGCTTTCATTCAATTACCTTTATTGAGTACCTACCATGTTAATAGATACCTCTTGGGTCCTGCCTGGCTCTCAACAAATCCTTCTTTCCTGGGAATTGCTCTTCTCCCCACTCTGCAATCATACACTGGAATGGGTCCTTTCAGCCACATCTGTATTACATGATCCTGTCCTCCTGGCCATAGATTATTAAATCCAGGGTGAACACTGATGTTAACTGCCTTAATCAGATTCTCTATACCAGGAATCTGGAATTGGAAACTGAGAGGCACAGAGCCTGGGAGCCCTTAGAGCTGAGTTCCATTAATGTCAGCATGTTAGAGAGGGCTATCCATCAACTCCCTCTCAGAAGTCCCTGGAGATCCCCTGGTTCCTTTCTTCCTGCCTTAGCTGTTCAGTGATTCCTTGGAGTCTGTGGGATATCTTGGCAGCCTTCCAATGTAAGTTCCTTTTTCCCTTTATGGCCAACATCTTTTTCTTATATTTCCAACTAAATAAGCATTAACCACTGCAATATTTGAGACACCATTAGGCTCTGGTGACACAAAAAGCATGTAAAATGCTATCTCAGCCCTCCAGCAACATCTATTTGAAATCCTACCCAGGTTTAGGAGTGCATCTTAGAAGCCCCCTTCCTCCTATAAATGTCCCCGTATTCCCCAAGCAGGATTAATCCCTCTCCAGTGTACTGCCTTTGCATTTCACTTTACCTCCCTTACAGTCAACTCTTTCAGCTCTTTTGTACATCTGCTTTTCCCACTAATTGCAAACCCTTTCCAAATCAAGAGCTAGATAGGTTGTCTTTTTAGTCTCTTGGCTTCCAGCACAGTATCATAAACAGATCATTGGGAAAGAACATCTGTTGTTTTGTCTGCTCATCATCCTCTCCTCTTTCTGTTGACAACTCAATTTTCGTTCAGGAAATCAGCCTTCCTTCACTCTCTATTCTATGGTTCTAGAAGTGGTACATATCCTAGATGTGGTCAGAGGCACAGTGATTCAGATTCATGACCTGTCAAGGCCAATGGACATCATATCTGTGATTCTGGCTGGAAGGATTTGGAAAGAAACCCTCTTAACTGGAGTTGTTTAGCTGTTAAACCATAAGCCTATAGTTATTGATGGTCATCTTTGCCAATGCATGGGGGAAAATCTGATTATTAATCAAACAAACACAATGGAAAAGAGAAAATAGGAGGAGAGATAAACTCCCAATAATATTACATCAGAATGTGCATCCAGACACCCTTGGACCTATTACCAGGAACTTTTTTGATTACAGAAATTCCCTCTGTATTTGTTTTCAGCTTCTTTTTTCTTTATTCACTTTTTAAGATTTATTTATTTATTTTAGAGAGAGACAGAGAGAGAGAGGAGAGAGAGCACGCATGCACACAAGTGAGGGGAGGGGCAGAAGGAGAGAATCTCAAGCAGACTCGCCGCTGAGTGTGCCACAGGACTCAGTCCCATCACCAATGAGATCATGACCTGAGCCAAAATCACGAGTTGGATGTTTAACCAACTGAGCCATCCAGGCGCCCCTATTTATTTATTTATTTTTTTAAGTAATCTCTATAACCAATGTGGGGCTTGAACTCACAACCCTGAGATCAAGCCGTGCTCTACCGACTGAGCCAGCCCAGGCACCCTGATTGTCATTTTGTTTTGTTTCTGACGAAACCAGTTTGAGGTGAGTTTATGACACAATAGAGTCTTGTCATTCACTCATTCATTCATTCATTCAACAAGTGTTTATTGACATAAAGTTCTATGGGAGCCCTGAGAAGGGAATGGATAGTATGACTGGGGTAAAGCTGGGGAAAAGATTGGTTTAAGAGGGGAGGTGGAGAGGAGAGGCCATTCCATAGAGAGAGAGCAGCCTGAGCAAAGGTCCACAAGCTTGAAAACGTGTGGTCCATTTCTGGCCAGCAAACTCTGCAAAGAGCATGTTAAAGAACAGGTAAGAACTGGGGTAGGACCAGACTCTTAAGGGATCTTGTCAGCCATGTCACTAAGTTTAACCCTTTGGTCAAAGGAAGGCATTTAAACTGTAAGGTATGTTTTCTTTAAAAAATATCTGTATCACTAGATCTTCTATCTCTATCTGGCAATAATGTGGGGAGTGGATTGGAAAGAGAATCTAAAGTCCGTTCAAATACTCGGGGTGGGAGCAGATGAGGGTCTGGACCAGTCTGAGACTGGCTGCGGCTTCTGACCCCAACAGAAAGTTACCTCTTAGAGCTTTGGAGGTACCACTTAAAGACCTGATAAACTCAATCTGAGGCTGTAGGGGAACTTCCTTAGATCCCAGGTCACATTTGATGGGATCCTTTGAGAAGATAATACCCCTAGTTTATTGTCATGGAAATAATGTTAATGATGGGTGGGCAAGTTCAGGACTAGTTTGTGGAAAAGATGCTTTGTAGCTGTGGGACCTTGGAACGCCATCAAATCCTATTGGTAGGCAGCTGACTATCTCATCAGAGCCTGAGCTCTCCTCTCCTCAGCAGCAAGGGAAGAGGAAAAGGAGTAATTTCTGATTCTGGGGAAGCTGTGGCCCCGCACTTAGATGTAAAGAAGGAATGCCATGGAGCAGGGACCAGCAGAAATGTGGCTGTTCAGAGAATTAGGACTGTTCTTAAAAAAGTGGTGCCCAGAATAAAACTGGGTAGGGAAGGCACAGCAAAATCATTGTGCTGGTATTGAAAATGTGGTGGACCAGTGAGGGGCATGGCTTGTAGAAGGAAAGGGGTGTGTGTATGTCAGGTGTCTTTTGTGGATAAGAGAAGTAAATGATGGCCTGGTGTCCCAGGACTTTTCCTGGTTTCCGTTGGCCTTGTTACTCCACAGTTGGGGTCCTGACATCATTCCCTGCTTCTCACAGCTGTACATCCGGATCCCAGAGGAAGAAGGATCCTCTCTTGGCAGGAGGGAAGTTTCCTGGCTCCCAGGCTCTGAATTTTCAGCATCAGTTTTCATTTCTTTTGGTGGGAAGCCAACCCATTCTGGGAGATTTAGAACTCCAGACTGCTGTGCTTGTTGCTGGTGGCAAGGGAGTTGAAGGGGAATGCATGGCTCATGAGGAAGGACTCAGCTTGTTTGAGTCATGGCAGAAGGCTGGCATGGAGCCCCAGAAATGACACTATTTTCATTAGGGTGATTCTGATATCCAGGCAGAACCCACATGATGACTTGAGTCCATTGCTCTAGGAAATCCATAGCTTGTGGACAGTCGGGCAGGCTGCTTGCTCATTGGGAAAAGAAGCTGCACAGACAACTAAATATATGCCCATACCAGGATTGTGGGGAAAATTAACCATGCTGCGTGGCTATGACTGGCACATATGACATGCACCAGAATCCTTTACGATATTTAGCTCTCTGAATCAGGGTCTCTGACTTTTCCCCTCCCCAGACTGCCTCCTCTGGGCCTGATTCTGATTCAGAAGTGCAGATTTGGAGGAAGCTCAAAAGAGAAAGTTCCAGAGGGAAGTTCCAAACCTCCAGATTTGGAGGCGTAAACAGTGTGTCTGGAGGGCTAATGCCCTGACAGCAGGGAAGTGATCTAGACAGTAGAGGGTTATAGATTCTTAACAGTTAGACTGTGGAGCCAGGCTGCCTGGCTCAGAATCCCAGCTCTGCCACTTACTGAGTACTTGACTTTAGACAAGTCACTCTGTGTTTCTTCACCTCTAAAATAGGGGTGATAATAACACCCCACTCCCACTCCTCACCCCGGCACATGAGGCAGGTTTAAACCAAAGTCTTCTCCCTCTTTCCCACCCTGGTTCTCTCCTGCCCTCTGTAACTCAGCCTATGTAACTGCCTTTGGAGGACATAATCCAGCACAGATTCTTTTAGAAAAGCAGGTTTATTGGTCGGGCTGCTCACCAGGACACAGCAACATGACAGGCTCCCAGGAGCGCACAGGAAACTGTATCTGCCCACAACTCAGGCCCCTTCAGCCCATCAGCACCAAGGGACCTTGTCCCACAATCCCCATCCTCCCTCAGCTGAAGTGTCTCCAACCATTCAGGAGAGAAGGAACCAAGAAAAGGAGGGGGGAGAAGCAAAGCTTTGTATTATAAAAAAGTGTTCGTGTCCCCAGGCTCCCTCCCTCCACCCCTTAATTAGCTGCAACTCTAAAAAGCAAAGCAGGGAAGATATGGCAGAGGAGGTGGGGGAGGAGGAGGAGGCCTTCAGTCCTCCTCTTTGGGCTGTGCTTGAAGGGGAAGGGAGTTGTCTTTGCTTCCGACAAGCCGCCTTTACTGGAGAGGAACATGGGGGGCTGAAGTGTCCTGAGGAGAACCTGTCAGTGGACAGCAGGATTGGAAGTAGCATCCCTGTCATCCCCAGCGATTCAGGAGAGGAACCCACAAGGGCAAGGAGGTCTCGGCAAGTTTTGCAGCTTTATGATACTAGCTCTAGAAAAGGATCTTGAGAAGAAACTACCAGGAGTGGGCCAAGGCCGGGTTGCTCCATATACTCTCGCCATCTCTCCTCCAGCACTCAGCATGGTGGCCTGGCCATTAGCACCTTGCTGTCTTTCCAGTCGGCCTCCCTCCTACCTCCCAGCCCTCTGCAGTCTGGTGCTGCCCCCTTCTGGACCCCTCATTTTCTGGACTTAAGAAATGGGCTGCCACAAGGGGCACCATTCAGATCTCAGTTAAGGGGTAGGGCGAGGCTTACCTTTCTCTTCTCTTTGGATCATCGCTTTCTCACTGTCCTCCCTCCTTATTCTGAAAATTGTCCTGCTGTCCTCTGAGGACCCCACTAAGACGGGATTCTTGTCCTGTGTTTCTCATGCTGCTTAGAATTCTCCTCTTTTCACTCATTTCCACTTTCTACTACTTCCCATTCTCCTTCCCAAAGCCATAGCCATATGCTGCTGTTGCAGATGCATAAACATGTTAAGTGTTCCCTACACCACCTGCTCCTTCCCCAGGGCTCTGCTTGGCTACAGCCTTCCTTGTTGAGACCATTTACAGATACAATCCGTGCTAGACTCTCATTCCAGGGTCACGGCTCACTCTGCCCTCTTCCCCCAACTGCCCCAGTTCTCCCAAAAGTTGCTTTCAAGTTCTTCCAGTATGGGGCCTCACGTGTGGGCAAGGGTCCCCTTCAGGATTACCTCTTTCCTTTTATGGTAATTTTGGCTTTGAAGCCTCCAGGGACCAGGATGAGAAAGAAGAGCTCAGTGAACAGGAATGACAGCAGCTGGGTACGAGTGTGAGGTGGAGGTTGGGGGGAAGGCAGCCTACCCCAAAGTGGGGTGGGGCAACCATGGAAATGACAGCAATTTCCTTTAAGATGCCTGACTTGGACGACCAGGACACGGATCACTCCCCCTCTCCATTCCCACCCAGACTATGCCCAAATTGGGGCTATCCATGGTGGAGGCTGCCTCCCCCTCCCATTTTAACAGCTGTAAGACTTGGAGGGGTGCTCCTTGAGGGGCGGTGTTGTCAATTTAGAAACATCTCAGCCTGCGTGGGGCCGAGAGAGAATGCGAAAGAGAAAGTTCCAGAGGGAAGGGCATGGGGAGGGGGCAGGGAGAGGCGGGGCAGGGTGGCGCGGCCTCCCGGGCAGAGCCCCGCATCCGCTCAGTCGCTGTCGCTCTTGTCCACCAGCACGGCATCCGACTCCTCAGTGATCTCCAGCAGCGTGTGCACGTCGGGGCTGCTCCCGCGCAGCAGGTCGGCCGCCTCGCCGCGCTCCGCACCGCCCTCGTCGTCGTCGGCGCCCACCTCCACCATCTCGGTGGCCTTCAGCACCTCCACCTCGCCCTCGCGGATCTTCTTGACGTGGAAGGTGAAGGGCGGCACCTTGTAGACCGCCGTCTTGGAGCGCGCGTAGACCACGTGGTCGGGCGTGAAGGACTTGCGCAGCTTGTCTCGCGAGGTCTTGAGCTTCTCGCGCCGCTCGGCGGGGACGAGGCGCGTGCCCAGCTTGTTCATGCGCTTCTCGAGCGTGTGCCGCGTCTTCTCCAGGTTCTCTTTAGTCTTGAGGCGGGTCTTCTCCAGGTTTTCGCGGGTGCGCACCTTGGTCTTCTCCATCTTCTCCTTGGAGAAGGCCTTCTTGAAGTCGTCCACGCGCCGCAGGCCGCTGCGCTTGATGCGCTCGGCGCGCGACTCCTCGATGACCTCCTCCACCTCCACCGCCTCGTCGGACGACAGCTCGAGCGCGGCCGCGTCCTCCTCCGGCCGCTCACCCTCGCCCAGCTCGTCGCCCTCCTTCTCGGGCAGCGCCTCCGCCTCTTTCAGCGACTTGCCGATGCTCACTTTGGCCGGCAGTTTCACTTCGTCCTGAAGGGAGAGCAGAGCGCAGAGGTAAGGGGCAGAGCGGAGGGCTGGGCGGGGACACTGGGCGAACCCGCGGCAGGATGGTGGTGATTCTGGGGAGTGCGTGGTAGCCGTGACATCCGCCCGACTCCTTCGTCGGTGTGTCCCCAGAGCCTTGGCACTGAGCTGGGCACCGCGTGGGAGCCCAATAAATATGTGTTGAATGAATGGTAACTATACAAACAGGGCGAGGAGGGAACCGAGCTTCCGGTGGAAGACTGGCGTGTAGAGCCATTGCGCTTGGACTAAATATCTCTGCAGACCCCAAACCTGTCCTATATCTACATCCATATGTCTTACATTAAACTACTCCTTACCCCTTCCGTCGCAGGGAACACAATTTAACTTTGGAAATGGGCAGAGCGCCCTCTGGTGCACTAAATCACACGCTGCTCTAGCCAGGCCAAAATGCAAAGGGGTTTGGGAAGCCGTTGAAGGGTGGGGGTAGGGGAGTGAGCTCACAGCTAGTGTCAGGCGACCCCAGGTAGGGTAGCTTGAAGGCAAGATAAAGGGAGTGCGTTTCCCAGACTTCTAATCATTTCAGAACCAGTCTTAGGGAAGGAGAGCTGTGCTGAGCCCATGCTCCCCACCCTTGACCTTCTCATACTGATTTGTTCCAGCAGTGGTCATTCCCCCCCACGTAGAAACTGAGAGAGGAAAGAGGAAGAAGCTGGCTGGCAGCCAAGAGTATGTTTTCTCCCCAACATGGACATTTATTCTGGATCTGACTTCCCAGCCTTGGAATGGAAGGGAGGGATTACTTTTTCCATTGTTTTTTTTTTTCACCCAGACCGGAGCTTAAGGGGCCAGGAATCGGGTAGTGGTCCCAGATTCCCTGAGATCTGGAGCTCTGAGCCAGTTCCCTCTTCCCCTGGGAGTACCTAGCACCAGCACTGTTTTCCATTCTGGGAAGATTTTCTAAGATCCTGACTCTGGGCCAACATTTCAGAATCTCAGGATCACCCCCCACAAGAAGGTAGGGGAGGCTGAGCACAGAAAGGGAAAGGGGGCACATCCAAGAACATAAACATAAACCCAGATCTCTGGTCCAGACTCTCTCTAGGGACTTCAGATGAAGGAATGAGCGATAGTAGTTTTTCAAAGGGTTTTCTGAAGATTGTTTCCCAGAATTGTAAAAAAAAAAAAAAAGTCCCATCTGAGAAAAATGAGGCAACATGAGTTGACCCCTCTCATAAACACACACACACACATTGTCCACTTGGTATCTCAGCACCACCTGCTCCAGAAATTCCTCCCCCAGCCCCCAACCTCTTTCCTCTTCTCTCCCATCCACATCCCCCCAGAGTTTCCTGGTTTATACTGAAAACTAGGAACACCCCCTCCCAACTTCCTTCCCTCCCTGTCAATAGCATTAGCAAGGACAAAGACAGAATGCTGGCTCCACCTCTTCTCCCAAACTGGGCACCAGCGCTGCTGGGCATCAAGCCACCTCAAGCTCTCATTATTCAACTACACCTCCCAGCAGGCAAGGTGATCTGGGCTCAGGGCATGCTGGGACTTGTAGTCTCCACCTGCCATAGCTGGCTTAGTACTGTCATCTTTTTTTTTTTTTTTAAGATTTTATTTATTTTACAGAGAGAGACACAGCGAGAGAGGGAACACAAGCAGGGGGAGAGGGAGAGGCAGGCCTCTCGTGGAGCAGAGAGCCCGATGCGGGGCTCGATCCCAGGACCCTGGGACCATGACCTGAGCTGAAGACAGACGCTTAACGACTGAGCCACCCAGGGGCCCCTAGTACTATCATTCTGTCCATCCTTCTGCTTCTTATCACTCACAGAGGAGTTGAAGGGGTTGTTTTCTTTGTTCTGAGTGTAAGAGGGTCCCAACCTCTCTTAACATTCCTTCTTATTTCCAGTTGTACCCTTTGGGTTTCCTTTTTACAGTCACTTCTTTCTGCCTGCTACTCAAGTCCTCTCTTTTACACACCATTTTAGGACTCTTCATGATTTAAACTCTCTGCTGCTTCTTCATCCCTCTCCGCCCAGAATTTACCTGCAGCCCCAGTATCAAAAAAATTTCAGCTCTGATCTCCTTCACAGCCTCTCTGACTATAACCCCACATGTGCTCCACCAAAGGGTAGTGGAGAACCCCTCCTTTCACTAAACTTAGACAATGTGGATGGGCTAGGGAAGGATTAGGGTGATGGGCGGGGAATAGTCAGGAAACAGTCCCAGCTGCTGGAAAACAAATCAACATTGTCTCCCTGCCCCACCCCCAGCAACCCTGATACCCCCCTTCCACTCCCAGCCCTGCCCCACCCACCCCCTAAAGGCTGAGCTGACTCGTTTTCCTGGCCTCTGGCTTCCTAGATTAAAAGTGTTTGCCAGCTGAGCTTGGAAGTGAACAGGGCTAGGGACAGAGTTGCATACCTCTTGTAGCCAATCCCATCTTCCTAATTCCTGATGAAAGTTCTCAAATACAACATCAGGGAACAATCCCAGTGAAGGGAGGTTTATTCCTGGATTTGGAGGTGTCTCCCCCAGTCCAGAAAGGCATATGGAACTATATTAACCCCATTCATTGTAGGTTTCCGCCAGAGTGATGGCTTACACCAGAGGAGCTGCCTTGGTGGAAGGTCAGGGGATGGGGGAAGAAATAACTTCACCTAAGTCCCTGGACAATGTCCAGTAGACTGGCTCTGCAGAGGGTATACCACTATGATTTTAGCTTTTTTCCTCCATTAATGGATTTTCTCTTTTCTCCCCCTTTCCAAGCCAGGTTTCCCCTATGACTCATAGGCTTGGAGTGCTGTCTTGGGCCTACCCCATTCACCCTGTTGCTACAACCACCACCAACACAATTCCAAAGCACCTCCCCCCACCCTGGGCACAAAGGCCAAGCACCCTTGTCCCACCCCTACTGCCCTGGCAGAGCTCCTACACCAAAGGAGAGGCCTCAGGGGGTGGCAAGGAGGGAGGGCTCTGCTTGTTCTGTTTTCATGTTTTTATTAAACAAAACCACCACTCCCAACAGGCTTGGTTTCCAGAGTTACCTTTAATGACCAGGTCTGAGCAAAAGCATGCACAGCTTCCCCTGCCCCCCCAACCAAGCACACACAGTTCTCCAACCCAGGAAGGCACCAGTCCAAGATGAGTTTCAGGAGCCCCAGGAAGGCTTCCCGCCCCTTCCACTCCACTGCCCAACCCTGCTGTATAAACTGAAGATCCTCTGGTCTAGGAAGAAGATTTTATTTTATTTTTTATTTTAATTTTTTTTTAAAGATTTTATTTATTTATTTGACAGAGAAATTAGAGAGAGAGCACAGATAGGCAGAGTGGCAGGCAGAGGGAGAAGCTGGCTCTCCGCTGAGCAGAGAGCCCGATGCGGGGCTTGATCCCAGGACCCTGGGATCATGACCTGAGCTGAAGGCAGACGCTTAACCGACTGAGCCATTCAAGTGCCCCTAGGAAGAAGATTTTAATATGATTATAATTTAATCGAGCACCTACTATGTGCCTAGTCCTTGGCCAGGCACTTCACATTTGTCAGGGAGAAGGGAAAATGTCATATGACTCTAAGTAGGAGCCTTTCTTTCCTTTTTTTTTTTTTTAAAGTAAGTTCTTTAACAAAGGTGGGGCTCAAACTCATGACCCCGAGATCAGGAGTCACATTGTCTACCGACTGAGGCAGCCAGGCACCCCAGGAGCCTCTCTTGACTTAGAGCTCTGTCGCCAACTACTACCTGAGAATAGCCAGAGAAGACTTTGGAGAGGGCATTCAGAGACCCAGGATCTGCTCAGAGAATATGTTAGAAAAGGGTCCTTGGGGAGAGGAGAAAAGAGGGAAAGTCATAAAAACTCAGGATCATTACTTTAGATTGCCAAGACAAGGGGTGAGAGACAATGAAGGCAGAGGGTCCTTTCTGCTAGAGTAGGATTCTCAACAGGATAAATGTTGCTCCCAAGAGGGTGGAAATTCTTGAGAGGAGAGGTGATTTTAGATATTGCAATAGTTTGTAGTGCTCAAAGAGTCCCAGTACATACACAGATAGACATAGTATATCTGTAGTATCAAAATTTCATGGAGGAGGGGAAAGTTAGGGGGAAAAAACATCTAAAAGGACTCCTTAGGGGGATGATTATGGAAAAAAAAGAAAAAAGTTGAGGAAACCTTTTTGTGCTATAGGGAAGCCAGAGGATCCAAGCCAGAGCCAGCTAAAATGTCCCCCCTTCTGGCCTCTCTGAGTTGGCAGCTTTTGGGTGCCCCGCCCAAGGCAGGATCTGGCAAACATAAGGGATCCCTTTGCAAAACATTTTCTAAAAAAAAATGGAAAAAATAAGTGTAAATGTTTTCTTCAGCTACAGGGAAGGGGTGGACAGGGCACAGAACAGACCCCAGGCCTGGGCCTCATGAGGGCCCTCTCCAAAGAAGCTTTGAGCCAAACTGGCCTGTCCCTGAGGAGGAGTCAGAAGGGGAACGGGAAGGAGACTCAGATGCCATGGCACAGTTTCATGCAGTTTCATGCAGGGCAGCACGGGGTGCAGCTCCAGTATGGAGTTTGGAGCGTCTACTATTAAGACAGAAACCGAGAGGTAGGGGAGGGCCCCGTCCTTTCACCTCCCACCCCATTACACACATCACATTCGCCTGAACTCTGCATAATGCCAGAGTGTTTTCATAATACCCACCACCCACTTGGAAGAGGCCTGCCATCCCGACACTGACCACCACTAAGCAGTGATAGCCCATGCCCACAGCCCTGCGTCACCCAGGAGACCCTAAGCGCCCCCACCGGCCGTCGGCTTCTCTGGGGTGGGCAGAGGCACAGGCTCTGGGTAATAGGGCAGTGTCCTAGGTGTCTGGTCAAAAGGTGGGAGCTCAGGCACTGTCTCAGGCTTCAGATCAAAGGGCTCAGTCTCAGGCAGAAGGTCAAAAGGCACGATCTTGGGTGTGGCCAGGTCAGAGGGTGCTTTCAGCTTCTTCTTGGGCTAAGATGAGGAAA